AGGACCTTCTTGCTGTGCGGCAACAGTGCTAACCACCGTGCCACCGTGCTGCCCATTTATTTTATTTTCATGTTTAAATTCTAAATACCAGCAATGATCTTACATTCAACAAATTCACTGAAAATACTGCAAGTAGCAACAACAGTGAGAGCTGGGCTTAAAATTCAGTTATGACACTGATGAAGATTAAGTATTGCTTTGTCTGCCGATGTGCTTGAGTTTGGGATATTTGGGGCACTTTTGGGAAATTTGTAAAATCCTCCACCCGTCAAATAGATCTTAACCTTCCTTATTCTGTTATTCTTTGTTATATAATATTATACATTATATATAATAGTACTCAATTCACCATATCAGTGTCTACCTCAAGAAGAATTTATTGTTTTGACATTTAAACTGATATTTTATTCAACTATTCTAATCTACAAGATTAATATTATTGATTTTTTTTTCAAGAATGACCATTTTCATTTGCAGAGAATACAGTGTTATTAAATCACACTGCAAAATCTAACCAATAAGGCAAGGCTTGAGAATAAATTAGTAAAATAAGCAAATAACATAAATCAGCAGGACTCTCTATGATGACATCACAACATTGATCGCTGCACTGATATCAGAGAATAACAACCACTTGGCAAAAACAACATCAGAGCGTGGGTCAGGATTCTGTCATTGCATCATGTCGGCTTGGACAAAATCAACACGAATGTTTCATGAGACCAGAAATGTAGCTGAAAAATCTTGAAAAGCTTGTCCACATTTAAGGCTCAAGGCGTGTCTTTAACTCACTGAGTTAGCTAATTCCAAATCTGAATTATGATGCTATAACTGGAAATTTAGACGTTTTTGTTTGTTTTGTTGTTGTTGTTTTTTAAGAAGGTAGAAATATGGGTAAGTAAAGCAACACAGACAATATGTTAGCAAGCTTCATTCACTGCATAAGAGGACAAATTAGTATCTGTCCAAAAGCTGGAAACATATAAACACACAAATTAATCACGAGGTCTTTAAAAAGAACTATACATATATTTAGTGGATGGCAGGAGATAGCTTAAAGCTGTTTGTTACATCCAACCTCTGCCCTTTTTATGACTCATATCTGTTATATTTTTTATTTTTTAGCTTCGTAAAAAACAAATATGTAAAACTATATATTTTTAGTGAAAACTGTCACCTGAATGAGACAAATGAAGAAGGCTTCTGTGAGATGATAAAATAATAATAATACTAATAAAATAAACTTGCACCACTAACCAACCTCTAATGTAAATGCCACTAAAACAAACCATACAACTCAAAATAAATGGATTTTTAAAGCATCGCTTCGAATGTGTTTATTGTGTCCTTTTTTAATGAGCCATTTTACAAATTGCAGAATAAAAACAACTTGAAATTAATCGTGTTGAACTGATAATGACGCGGTGAGTTATCATGAACATCATAACAGGGGTTGAAAACTAGAGAAGCCGCTTACCTTAGAGCCCACGTCACGACTCTTGGCACGCAGCTTGTTGACCTGAGACTCAGCAATATCAGCTCTCTCTTCAGCCTCGTCCAGCTCGTGCTGCAGTTTACGGAACTTGCTCAGGTGAGTATTGGCCTGCTCTTCCTACAGGATTCAAAAACAACACAGTCCACAATATTAAGAGGCATGGGGGAGTCGACGTTTCTTGAAGCCACATGATCGTAAAATAAAAGGTGTCGGCACAGATGTAGCCAAAATGTTTGTGTTGCAGCAAAAATATGATATGGTATGTATCGAACAGCTATGTTTAAAACTGCGAAAACTTAAAGTATATGTATGGGAAGGAATATTTAGGTTAAAAGAAAGAGGAAAAATCAAAGTTAGAGACAACTCTGTTAGGAATAAACTCACAGCCTCCTCTGCAGCTCTCTTGTAGGCTTTGACTTTGAGCTGGAGTTTGTCAACCAGATCCTGCAGACGCAGAATATTCTTGCGGTCCTCCTCAGTCTGAGTAAGCCATGGAGACAGATGAGAGAAAATAATGAACCTTTGTAATATTTCCGAAAACTCTGTGGGAATTATTTTGTTAATCTGTGTATAAAGGGGCAGGATAAGAGGACTCCTATGACTGAAAATGTATGTTTGCCTAAGATAAAGCAGCACGTCTAATATTTTATGTGAAGTAACAGGAACACAGACCCCTTTACTCATATCACACAACTATACATTAAATGTGCTATTAACTTCCTGTTGCTGAAACTGAAACACAGTAAAGGTAAAAATGTAAAGATATTAAATTCTTTAATAAGAGTCACACCCTGGACTTGCTGCTGACGTTAAGGAAACTTGAATCAATGTCCAAAATTAACTATAGCAGGTTTTCATTTGTGTAGATTTCACAATAATAATAATTGATTTGAGAAATTACTGACTGAGTCAATTATCTTAAAGTATATGAATATATATGAATATTAATTATTTATGTACTCAAAATGTCTTAAAAAAAAAGACCTGGTATGTGAGCTCCTTAATGCGTCGCTCGTATTTACGGATTCCCTTCACTGCCTCGCTGCTTTTCTTCTGCTCCGACTCCACCTCATTCTCAAGCTCCCTCACCTGAAAAGATGCAAAAATCATTTTCTACAAAGACTCTGGTCCACCACAAATTTTAAAGCTGCTTACATTAAGTATAAACATTTATTACAATTTTAGTAAAAACACATCAACTAAAAGACAGTAAACTAAATTAAGTTAAAAAAAAATACCTGTGATTTTTCACATTTGTGTACTTGTGATTCTTACCCTGGCCTCGAGCTTCTGCACCTGCTTCTTGCCTCCCTTCATGGCGATCTGCTCAGCTTCATCCAGGCGGTGCTGCAGGTCTTTGATGGTTTGCTCCATGTTCTTCTTCATTCGCTCCAGATGAGCGCTGGTGTCCTGCTCCTTCTTCAGCTCCTCTGCCATCATGGCAGCATCAGTGATGGCCTTCTTGGCCTTCTCCTCTGCATTCCTGCACTCCTGCACTGCCTCCTCCACTTCAGTTTGAAGCTGGGATGTATCAGCCTCCAGCTTCTTCTTTTGGTTTATCAGGCTGGTGTTCTGTATATTATTAAGGTATGCAATGCAAGAATATGAGAAAAAGTGTCCATCTGCACTTTAGAAAAAGTATTCATACATCTGCATGGTTGCAGTAAACAGAACTCACCTGTGAGTGCAGCAGCTGCACTCTCTCACTGACATCCAGCAGCTCTTGCTCTGCAAGTTTGCGGCTTCTGTCCGTTTGCTCCAGAGCTGCTCTCAGCTCCTCCAGTTCAGCCTGAAGAAGGTTGTTGCGTCGCTCAACAATGGCAATGTTCTCTTTAAGGTCATCATTGGCCCGAACAGAGTCATCCAGCTGAATTTGGCAATCCTAGATGAGGTAACATTATTCACATTAAAATTTATACCCAGTTTGAATGTAAAACATCTGAAAATTCTTTCACTTTTTTTAGTTTACCTTCATATGTGCATGGACGGCCTTAAGCTGTTTCTGGGCCTCGGCTGCCTGCCTGTTGGCCTGGCTTAGCTGGATCTCCATCTCATTCAGGTCTCCTTCCATTTTCTTCTTCAGCCGCAGAGCCTCATTCCTGCTGCGACACTCAGCTTCAAGAGAGCTCTGCAGGGTGTCGATGGTCCTCTGCAGGTTTCTCTTGCACTGCTCCATCTCTTCATCCTTCTCGGCCAGTTTGCGTTCAATATCAGCTTTAATTTGATTGAACTCAAGCTGGGCTCTTAGAATCTTACCCTCTTCATGCTCAAGAGAGGCCTAGTGGGCAAGAAGTTGCAGAATTACACATAATGGCAGTTAGTTTTACTTAAAAATGTCTTATTAATTATTCAGAGCGTGTACCTCAGCTTCCTCGAGAGCAGACTGAATCTCACTCTTCTCCTGTTCCAGTTGTTTCCGTAACTTTTCCAATTCATGGATACTTTTGCCACTCTCACCAAGTTGCTCAGTGATGTCAGAAATCTCCTCTGTGGGATGTCAAACACTGCGATTAGGATGACTTTAAAGTTTAATGCTGTGTCTACAGATCTTGTGCACAAACACCACCAGCAGACCCTACCCTGTAAATTCTTGTTCTCTCTCTTCATGGTCTCCAGATGATCCAGAGCTTCCTCATATGAGTTCTTCAGTTTGAAAAGCTCAGTGCTCAGAGCCCTTGCTTCCTTTTGGGAGCTCTCCAGCTCGCACTGAGACTCCTCATACTTCTGCTTCCACTCAGAAAGAACCTGCAGTGTAACAAAGGCCAACAATAAGTCTGTGTTTGCCAGATTGATTATTCCAATGGACTTATTCCAATATTAGAAATAGTGCTGAAGGAAAGACAGCATTTATAACATTCACATTCACTCTTAACAATTGTGCTCAGAAGGGGGCAGCCTGTTGTGGATTTTTAAAACTACCACACGCTGCATGTGTGTTTATATTCTGCTTAAATAACCCCTGTGGGTGCTGAGATTGTTTCTAGTGTAAGGCTTTAGAAGCCACCTTGCATATTGATACTTTTGTCACAAACACTTCAGTGTGTTTCACCTTGTCAAAGTTTCTTTGCTTCTTGTCCAGAGCAGCGGCAGCAGCATTAGACCTCTCTACATCCACCATGAGATCTTCAATCTCATTCTGCAGCCTGTGTTTGGTCTTCTCCAGAGAGGAACATTTAGCATTCACTGCTTCAACAGCCTCCTCAGCCTCCTGCAGACGCTGAGCCAGCTTTTTCCTTAAGAAATCATCATTCAGAGCTGTTTAATTAAAATGCAGCTGTGTGGTGGATAACTAAACTGTGAATTCAACTGCTACAAGTGGCTGCTTTGTCATCCAACAGACAAACTTTTTGTTCGTCTTACATTTTAGTAGGAACATAATACAAACAAAAAGCTGATCTGATAGACGAACGGTAAAGTTTCTTTAGGATAATAAACCATCTATTTAAATTTCAGACTCTTACTTGGCCTCTTCTAGTTCTTCGGTCCTCTGGATGGCATCAGTTTCATACTTTGCCCTCCACTGAGCCACCTCAGTGTTGGCTTTGGACATGCCACGCTGTAGTTCAGCTTTAGCCTCCTGCTCCTCCTCATACTGCTCCCTGAGCAGGTCACAGTCATGGCGAGCAGACTGCACTGCATGGGCCAGAGCACTCTTTGCCTGTTAAAAGAAAGTTATATGAAGAGGTGACACTTTTTAGGAAATAACTGTCTGGTGCTGTCAGCCGGCACTGAAACTTTATTTCACCTTGGTCTCCTCTTCCAGTTGTCTCTTTAGATCCTCAATCTGCTGAGTGTAGGACATTTTCCCTCTTGTGAGTTGAGACACCAAGGAATCCTTATCCTCCAGCTGCCTCGAGAGCTCACCTAATGTTATGGTAAATGTAGATTGTTGTTGTTCAGACCCAAAGAACACAAGAATCCTTGTCTGATTTCAGAATATCAATTGAGTTTTCCAGGTTTAAACACTTTTATACAAAATTGACGTGGATAGTGTTTTCTATCATACAAACCAAGTACATGTAGGTTGTAGTAAAGGAAAAATATACCATTCTCTGTTTGAAGTTTTGCTTTCTGCATGTTGAAGTCACTGATGCAGCGCTGAGCCTCTTCAAACTTTGTCTTGTACTCATTCATTTGATCTTCCAGAGTCCTGCATGCTTTCTCTAGATTAGTCTGAAATTCAACACAAATGTTCAATATGCATGTATTATATCTATGTCAACATGGCTATGTTGGAGAAAAAAATTTACCAAATAATGTGATTTTAGCACACCTTTGTCTTCACAATATGTTCCATATTGGAGACCACATCATCCAGCTCCAGTCTGAGCTCACTCTTCTCCTTCTCCAGTTTCTGCTTGACTCTCTGCAGGTTGTCAATCTGCTCTCCCAGCTCAGCAACACTGTCGGCTTGTTTCTTCCTGAGTGTGGCAGTAGTGGCTTCGTGGTGCAGAGTGGCCTCTTCGAGGTCTCTGCGCAGTTTCTGGAACTCGGCCTCCCTCTTCTTGTTCATCTCAATCTGGGCAGCTGTGGCTCCTCCAGCCTCCTCCAACCTCTCACTGATCTCCTCCAGCTCTCTGGCCAGGTCAGCTCTCTGCTTCTCCACCTTGGCTCGAGCAGCTCTCTCTGCTTCTAGCTCTTCCTCCAGCTCCTCAATACGGGCCTAGATCACAGCCAAAATCACTGTTAAAGACTTTCTCACTAATAAGTGTTAAACTAGTTTTGATAGCATCACATATTAGTAAGTCATTACCTGAAGCTCTTTCAGTTTCTTTTGAAGCTGAATGGCAATGGCCTGCTCATCTTCAATTTTATTATTAAGCTGGCTGAGCTCAAAGTCCTTCCTGTGGGGAAGAAGGAAGGGCCACTTATAGCACTACTTATATAGCTTTACTTAATCTGTTTGGAACTATTAGGATGTGAACGTGCTTACTTTTTCAAATGCTCCTCAAGTTGTTGCTTGTCATTCTCAAGGTCCATGAGACTCTCTTGGGTCAGTTTCAGGTCTCCTTCCAGCTTTCGCTTTGCTCTTTCAAGATCCATCCTAATCTTCTTTTCTTGTTCCAGAGAACCCTCAAGCTGAATGTTATTAGAAAGAAGCAAACTAATGTCTCCATAATACAAAGGAAAATGGTTCACCAATCAAAAAGTTAAGCTAAAGTGGATAAGTTCATTATAATTCTTACATCATCCACTTGCTGCTCCAGCTTAGCCTTGGCCTTGGTCAGAGTGTTGACTTTGTCTTCCTCACTCTGCAGGTCATCCAGAGTTTGCTGATGAGCTTCCTGTAAAGCTTTCTTTTCCTTGGTCAGCTTGGCAATGATCTCATCTAAAGCAGCCATCTCTTCAACAAGGTTCTTGACCTGTTGCAGGTAAATGATGGTATTACAAATTCCGTGCACAGCTTAGACACATGACTCTTTTTCATACCCTTGTTGTCAGAAATAGAAATATCAAATGAGTCATACCTTGTTCTCAGTGGCATGCTTCTCTTTCTCCACTTTAGCTAGAGTTAACTCTAAGTCATCGATGTCTTTCTTCAGCTCGGAGCACTCGTCCTCCAGCTTCCTCTTCTTAGCAGTCAGTTCTGCATTCATCTCCTCCTCATCCTCCAGCCTCTCAGAGAGCTCTTTGGCTTTTGCTTCCATCTGAATTTTGTGTTTGATCAGCCCCTCACATCTTTCCTCGGCATCTGCAAGATTATCTTGCTCCTAAATATTTGATGATATTCATTAGCGTATAAGATACAATATCCATGGTTGAGTGTATAAGGAATATTGTGATTAGACTTACAGCCTGAACTTGGAGCTGCAGGTCATTCTTCTCTTGGAGAAGAGTCACCATTTTCTCCTCTAGTTCCTTTCTTCGAGCTTCAGATTTTGCATAAGCTTCTTTGAGTTTTAGGAATTCTTCCTTCATGTTGGCCATCTCCTTTTCTGCCTCAGCAGATCTCAGCAGAGGTTTGATCTTGAAGAAAAGCTTCATCCAGGGCCAATTCTTAACCCCCATGAAGGCACGTATGTTCCACTGGATCACAAGAAGTGCATCCCTGTCAAAGATCAACCATTAGTACAACCAAACTCATTATGATCAATAACAGTTTTTTTGCTCCTTTCAGCTTATTTATATTTAAGTCTGTCTGACCTCCTTTCAACAATCTTCTGGAATTCCACTCTTGCGAGCAGACCTCTTGATCGAGCCTGGATTCCCGTGATTATGAGGGATAAACGGTCATCTCTCATCTCTTCAAGTTGGCCAAGAAGACCAGCTTTAAAGAATACCTTTAAGACGCACGAATGACATTA